TGAACGAGGAGGAAAAGGAGAATCGGAATGAGAATGCCGCCCGTCCTACCTAACTTTCTCCCCCGTTTTCACCTTCCACCCCCGCGGCGCACCCTCGTTCCGGCTTCGTGGACTCTCTTTTCAGACCCGGGTTCCTTCGGCATTGGCGGCATAGGCAGGGGTAGTGGAGGAGGCAGAGAGGGGAGGGGGTTGTGGGGGGGGGAGGAGAGCGAGGGCGACGGAGGTGTGGTGGTGTTCGCTCGAAGGAGGCCGCGAAGGTTGAGCGCGTGAGATGGGTCGGCGGGGCTGGCGGGCCGGGAGGGGAACAAGGGCAGGCGGGTCGCGCGGATAAAAAAGGAAGTCGGCGGGAAACACAAGGGAATTCTTGATCTTTTAGCGGGCTGACGCTTTTAATTCACGAGGCGGGCGTCTCTCTTAATTGTGCCCCGCTATTTGGCGACTTCTCGCCGGCTCTGCGAGCAACGTCGTTTGTACGTGCCGGAGCGCGCGCACTTCTTCCTCCTCCTCCTCCTCCTCCTCCTCCTCCTCCTCCTCCTCTCCTTCTTTTGCTCCGTCTCTCGCGCCAACGACTTCCGTCGTTGTCGTCGGTCATCATCGATTCTCCACGTATAATCGCGTATACTCCCCCTTATCGCGCGCATGCGCGAATTTATATTTTGCGCTTGGACGATACGCGCGGCTGCGAGGATTTCGATCGAGCGGAGGAGTGCCATTCGAGGAACATGCATGTGCGTGTGTGTTATCGGTGCTGCTCGCTCACGTCGAAATATGTACAAGCGAGTGTGAGGAAGGCGCGAGGGTGAAGAGATTAGATTTTGGCGCGCATGGATTTTGGAATCGGAGAAATATCATGTTACCTCTCGTTACCACCTCGTTACGCCGTTTCAGAATTAATTGCTGTGTAATTTATGGATGTCGTGAAAGTTTCATATCTCACTCGCTTTCTATAGTCGGGAATATCATGTAGCGAATAAAAAAGTGATAAAGAGCAAAGCTTTAATATGGATCGTTATCAATAATGCGAGGTATTCGGATGAGAATGGAGTCGAGGGTCATACATGCCTAATAGAAGGGAAAAAATAAATTTTTACGATGGGACGAGGAGCGTGAATAGGGGGAAGGGGCGAGGGACCTCACAAGAGATAAATTCACATCGATGACATCGGCATCTCGCGAAATGGCGTCGGCACGGGCAACCCGTGTGTGCGTGGGCCTTGTTCTTGTCGTCCTCAGTCGCCGCTGTAAAATATCCGAGAGGAACACATGTAAGGGAAAACGAATGGGCAGCGTGGTGGCGAGGAGGAGGAGGAGGAGGAGGAGAAGGAGAAGAGGGACGAGGAGCGCGTCGTAGACAGGGATCTTCTTACGAGCGGCTTATGTTTCAATTTGTTCGGTCGCAAATAAAATCGCATTTTACGACGCGTCAAAATGCCACGATCCATCCTCGCATCCCTTCGCCGCGAGGACACCGTCCCTTCGCTAATCGACTTGTCCTCGACATATCCGTGGATTGCGCCGCTTGTCTCCGTTTTCACGGTTTCGTAAATTTACTATTTAGCATTTGCTTTCTACAAAATTTCTTCCCCCCCCTCTCCTTTCTCCCCCTTCCTTCTTCTCCTCCTCCTCTTTCACTCTCTCTCTTTCGTTCTTTTTCTCCTCTTCTCTTGCTGTCGTAACGTATTTTCAATCCGATGTTAAGCATCTTGACGTACGAATACGCTTCGGAATAAATTTCTAACGGAGTAAGACTCGGAACGAACTGAACTCGAGGCGAAACAAAGTTGGCACGGTGTCATGATAATTGTATCGTTGGCAGAAATTTGCCAACGATATCGTAATGCCTCCATCTGCAAAGTGAAAACACTTGTAGACTGAGAAAATGCGATTAACTTTGCACGTGGTACACGCGGCAGGACGTAGCTTCGAGCGGGAAACTTTCCTCGTATCGGCAATCGGAAGCGAGAATTTCTTCGTGCGCGACGCTTCTACGCGCGTAGACGCGAAATCGTCGAAGTCGTCCTGAAACGTCCGACGGAGACATCCGGCGATCGACACAAAACACTTCCGTTCTCCGGTGTGTTACATCTGTCTTCTCGAATCTACCCCTCCTCATATCCTGCCATTTCTTCCACCCTCTTTCTCGGGCAGATGCAGACACCACAAATCCTGGGAAAAGAAACAGTCAGACAGTACGGCCGAGGAATCGTCGCGCTCTACCCATTTCTGCTCTTTCTCCACTTTTCCCTTTCTTTACGAGAGATAAAGAACCGATATAGAAGTACGGGTTCAATGAGAGGGTTGGTGGCGGAGGGAAGAGAGCGGAGGGCGGAAGAGGAAAGAGGAGGAGGAATACAGAAGTGCCGAGGTGCAACGCAGGCGGGAAGACGAGCCTGTGAGCCGAGTTGACAAAGAAGGGCGAAGGAAAGGATGCGCGCGGGGGGGGGGGAGAGAGAGAAGAAGAGTATATAGCTCGGTCGATCCTGCATTTTGCAATTCCAATTCCCGCGCTGCAAAGTTGCATTGTCTCGATTGCGGCGAACGGTAGAAGTGATTCGTCGCGATCTAGTCGTTTCATCGCTTTGACGTTGCCATCGGATCGCGATTAATCGCGCGCCGTTTGCGTTTTGCAGTTAATCGGTTGGCGGTGCATGCGCGCGCGCGTGTGTGTGTGTGTGTGTGGTGTGTGTGAGTGCGTGCATGCGTACGCGCTCGCGTGTGTCGGTGTGCGCGTCGACGAGCGATCGTGTAACTCATCGGTAACTCGCGAACTCGTAATTGACGGACTGTAATTGAAAAGCTGAGAGTGTAAAAAGGCAGCAGCACAGCAAGGCCGCTACCGTGAAATCGAGAGAGAATCAAGATGGAAAGTCACCCGGCAAGAGCGCGATAACGTAAGCATATAATATCGATGAAAGCGCGAAACTTTATTAGCACGCTATTAAATGGCCCCGCGAGACCCCAGCGGGGGGGACTTAATTATTATTTCGTTCGTTTATCTCGAACACTCTCGGCTCGATTTTGCAATTCGACGAAACGGCCAGCCGTCTCTTTATCATTTATTTGATCAAGCCCGAGGGACGGTGGAAGTCACTTTCATGGGAAATATAAAATCCATGCATATTTCGATCGTCATCATCATCCTTTTCCATGCATACTGATACAGTTCTCGAGAGTTACACCGCGGAAAGCGCAATTAATCTTGCTGATGCCTGCCGGGATGCGATCCTGCGTGCAAGACAGTCATGTGCCGGCAATTAGGGCCGTTCGTTTTTGACAAAGCAGCGGACCGGACCGTTTTCGATTTAACTCTCCGCTCGCGCTTTCGCCCAGCAGCGAGAACATTATTTTCGTCCGCGGCGATATTTTTCGGGGAGCGATCGTCAGCGCGTTGCGCCACTTTGATCGAAATTGCTGTGAACATTTCCGCGATCGGAAATATTACGGAGCTTTAGATTCTGATTAATTTGGAGACCGAAGCGCCGACGCGCGCTGAGCAGTCGTAATAAAATGCTATACGCGACTTCAACGGTATCGAGAGAAAGAGAGAGAGAGAGAGAGAGAGAGAGAGAGAGGGATATCGTGACGAAAACATGACAATGTGTAAGCACGTACAATCGCGCGGACATATTCGCGACGGAAGAACGTGATCCTTTGAATTTTCCGTGGGTTACGATTTATAGAATCTGCTGTGCGAGCGAGCAGCGACGGAGCTTATGCGAACTGCATCGGCGTGCGTGCATAATTTAGCGCGATTTGATCGCGTATGAATTTCAGCGAGCTCGCGAGCTCGCGAGTGCGCGCGCGTGATTTCAAGTCGCGTTAAAATAACTGTTAACTGGGTCGGAAATACAATACTCGTCAGTTACATTCACGGAATTTCACGACGGGTTACGCGGACGACCTCACGTCAAACGTTTTTTTTTTAAAACCGCTTTTTCTTATCCGACCGCCTTAAGTCCGATCGTCGACGATCCGAGTTAATTCCTCTCTCTCTCTCTCTCTCTCTCTCTCTCTCTCTCTCTCTCTCTCTCTCTCTCTCTGTCTCTCTGCGAGACAGAAGCACGCGGGAGGAGTAAGAATAAGTGCAATGAAATTTATTCGCGTGTTGCAGAGCAAATGTGAGAAGTATGAGGAGTATGAAAGAGTATGAGGGAAATGTCTCTGGCACTTATATATCGTTTTACATTTCTCGTCTGCATTTTACATAAGCAGAGACGCGGCCGCATCGCTCTTTTGGTTCGCGAAAAATTTCCGCGTAAAATGAGGAACTGGGTGAGCGCGAGGCGAGGCGCGCTCTATTATGCCGGCATAATTCCGGGTTTCAGGCATGATTAACGCGCGTTCAGCGACGCGATTAAAGGCAACGAATCAACTTTCCGACGGAGGAGAGGAACGTTATTTTTTCTGACCCAGGTTACCGCCACGACATCGATCGGCCGCCGCGCTGCTCGAGGAGGGACCAATTAAGGATACTACCCGTTTCCGCAGCTGTGAGCCGAGATACTCTCGTGCTTACTTCATGAAATACTTCTTTAACTCCCGCACGAGCGCGGCCCCGGCGTCAAACACTTGTCGCTTCATGATTCAGGAGCTATCCGGAAGAAGGGAAAGAAGCGGAGGTAGAAGAAGCGACGCGAGACGCGGCCAGGACGACGACTGAAGACGAAGAGGGAAAGGCGACAGTTGGAACGGCGTTAGAAACGCGACGAGGGGCGAAAGGACGAGGGACGAAAGTTGAACGAGGGGAACGAACGAGCGAGCGAGCGAGACAGAGAGAGAGAGAGAGAGAGGGGGGAGGGAGGGACAGCCAGAAGGGGCAGGGGAGAGGCGGCACGGAGAGCCAGAGAGGACACGGCGAAGGGGATCTCCGTGGGGTAGAGCGAGACGCAGCGAAACACCATCGGGGGCGAGGCGAAGAGGGATGGGGAGGGACGGAAGGCGTCGGTGCATGCGCAAGAATTTCACACGTGAGCCCGCGAATCCGCGAGAGAGGTTCGCCTCGAGCGCGAGACTTCCTGCCGCTTCAGTGTCGTGCGCGATTCCGTACGCGGCGCTTGGCGGGGTGACGACTGTGCCGGAGCTCGCGCGGCGGCCACGCTCGTACCTGCCGCGCAGATCGTTCCGAGCCGCTGAATCGGGACGATCGCTCGCGCGCGCGCGCGTGAGCGAGAGAGAGCCCATGACCGAGAGCGGTCCGGCTGGTGTCGCGACGCGAGAGGAACCGCGAGGATCATCAGCCAAGCTGATGATGGAAAGTTGTAGTAGCGGCGCCGGCGGCGGCGGGCATCTCGGTGTGATCGGCTCGACGACATTAAAAGCGGCGTGGGTGTGATTGAAAGCGCGTTCTCGCGCTCTCTCGGCGGGAGAGGATCGGTCTTCCGACAGGGCGAGCAGAAACAGCAGCCGGTAGTAGGCGCACGGCCGCGGGTTTGTCAGTCATTCCGCCGCGAAATTGGAGCTCGTGCTTGCCGCGCGCGCGGGGCGATCGAACCCCCTCCCCCCCACGCGATAGTAAATCACAAAGTGGCGGGATTTCACGCGGCTGTCAGGCGCGAGAAGGCCGTTCCGCTCGTCCCGATCAACGCGCGCGCTCTCTCTCTCTCTCTCTGCGCCGCGTCACGCTAGCGGACAGCTTTTAACGGGCGGAGTTTAACGAATCGTCGCGCCGCCGATCGACGACGGATCTCTCCTCGAGCGAGGCTCCACAGTCATCCCTGCCCCTCGTCGTCGTCATCCTGAAGGGCCAGAGAGAGAGAGAGAGGGAGAGAGAGAGAGAGAGAGAGAGAGAGAGAGAGAGAGAGAGAGAGAGAGGAGAGTCTCGACCACCTTCCCGCCGCTCCCTCTCGATCGGCCGTAAATAACGCCACGCACTTTGGCGTGTAGCACCTGGCGTGTAGCCGCGGTGTGTACGAGCCGGCGCGGCGGCGCGCGAGTGTGTTCGCCGCACGGTGGAATCCCGCTCGTAATGACTCGTAATTGCGCGGAGGAGGAGCCGACGTCGTGCTGGAACGATTTAAGGGACACCTAGCGCCACCCGCACCCGCCGCTATAATGATTAGGTGCACGCGACTACGGGGATTACCTGGTTGAGGAGGTTGGCGGAGGAGCCCGCGTGCGAGACGAGGGTGGACGACCACCGGCTGAAATCTGAATAGGAGAGTGGTCGATCGCGACGCGAACAACTCGTCCCTCGTCCCTTTCGGCGATCTAACGGCCGGCCGTTAGCACGTCCCGGCGTTAGCAGATCGCCGACGTTCACGGCGTACTCGAGCGTGGGAAGATTCAATTGCAAGGTAAGGCTCGATTTCATGATTATTGGCCCGCCCCTTCGCTTCGTCCCGCTCCGTTTGCCCGTTCTCGAGATTATCGCTTTTGTTCCACTTGTTCCTCTTTCTCCGCCGCGCCGCATTATCGCCTTTACGGCTACGGCCGCTTTCGAAACGGTCAGCTAGCTCAGACGACGAGAGAGAGAGAGAGAGAGAGAGAGAGAGAGAGAGAGAGCGCGCGCGCGGTCGTACTAAACTCGACACGCTGCAACGGAGACAAAGTGTCTCTCCAATATTTACCTTTTATCAATCGTATAACCATCAAGCGGCATCCATTTATCCGCTCGAATCCCGCGGATATCATATAATTGCAAAGAAATTATGGCCATTATTAATATCGTCCGAGTCGGCGAGTGTATCGAGTTTGCAGCGATATTGCAATTATCCGCCCGTCCGGGAGCGTAATTCCGCGCAGAGTTTAAATTTCGATGGCGCCCAGACGAGAAACGATTCTCCTCCGTTCAATCGCGACGATGAAAGGCCCGGGTGTCGGTCGGTCGATGTAAGGTATATTCATCCATATTTCCGGTATCGAGAATTCAACTCACCGAAATTATGCCGCTTTCGATCGCCGGCCCGCCCGCTCGCGGTCCATTCTTCCCTCTGTCGCGTGCTCGCGCGCGCGCGGGGGGAGGAGGATGCGGTCGCGCATCATTTCCCTTAATGCCCGCCGACGATCCGTAAATCCCACTGAAAAACGTACTACGTGCGCGCTTCTTCGCGTTCCTTTTTCGCTCGGGCACTCGGGCCGCTCTCTCTCTCTCTCTCTCTCTCTCTCTCTCTCTCGCCCGCCTCCCGCTCCACCTACCGCGGATTTTACCGACGTACGAGTGGCTCGCGGAGTTTTCATCCCCGACGGCCTAACGAGCTCGATTACGCTCATCGGATTTCATCGCGATGGAAGCGGAGTTGTTGGATCTTCGCATTGTACGCCTCCGTCGATCCTTCCTTACGAATCGCGGCCACGTCGCGCAAGCGTGGCGAAAATAAGAGAAAAAGGAGGAAGGGAGTGAAGCAGAGGAGAAGAAGGAGGAGAAGGAGAAAGAAGAGTAGAGGCGAGGTAGTAGCTCCAGGAGAGGGTAATGAAATTTTTAAGAAACCAGCGGCACGCTGGCGGAAACGTTGCTGGAAAATGTTAACTCGGGACTCGAGGACTTTGCGCGCTGAAATTAAGTAATGGGATGTAATTTCCACTCCCGCTCTTCGGCATTCTTTATGCTCATTACTCGCCGTCGTTTATTTGAATTAAATGTTAGACTGGAGCGGACTTGATTTTACGCGATACTCTGAGCGTAATGTCGAGGGTCACGTCTCGACTATTCTCGCGGATGCCGAGAGGATGCCGGGCGAAAATATTCCGGCGATACATCGGCCTCGGGGTCACACACACTCGGGGTGCCATTAAAATGGCATTATCGGAATCGCATCCTGTATTATTAGGTCCTAAGGCCTTGCTTACAGCCGACGAATACCGAAGCGCGCCGCGCGAAAAGCCCGGATTAATAAGAATTTTCCTAGTAAGAAGTACATTCGACACGAAAGCCACGTTTTCAGCATCCCCCGGCTGCATTCATCCGCCGGCTAACGGGCTTCATTACCCTCATTGAATTTCGCTGAAAGTCGTTATCTTGTGCGAGTAGTCGAAATCCGCTCAGCGAAATAAAGAAAATCCGTGTTCCTTGCGCAAGCCGCGGCGCGCATTTTAATCGAAATCGCTGCACTTCGGCCAATATATTCCGCGCTCGGAAATAAACCTCCTATCAAATATGCAGAAAACATTCTCTTTTCTTTTTCTCCTCGAGAACGCGGAACCTGTACTGTTCGCGCAAACTCGACTGGTGCGTGTCGCGCGCGCGCGCGCTTAAAATTATAATAAAAAATACTCTCCCGCGTGCAGAATTATCTCTCGAATATATTATACGAAAGAAGCAAAAAGAGAGAAGGAAAACGAACAATTACACTCGCACGCGCGCGCTACACGAGCCTCGACTCAATCCCCCGCAAACGTTCGCTTCGCAATTCTGCGACCCTTGTAATGTGTCTGGCTTTCAAGGCGTAATGGACACGTCACCAACGTTAAGCATCGGCGGATCGAGGGCCAGGGCGGCCCTTTTGACCACTAGTGGCACCGGAACCGGAAGCACCGACAGACGGGTCGTCTTTTTAGCAAGTCAACCGTCGGTCAGCGGCAGTCACGAGACGAAGACCTGGCCTCACCACTGGTCGCCGCACACGGTGAGTAGTTTATCGGCAAAGGTCTATCTATATTTTCTTCGTCTCCCGAAGGATTAGTCGAACGACTTTTTCATTCGATACGATCGTCCGGCCCGTCCGACAAGCATTTTCGGACATTGTCGTTGAGACGTATATTTTTCTTTCGCTCCTTCGGGAACGTCGCAACATATTTTTTACGTATCTCTAGATATTCAGAGTATCAGGTTATTAAATTTCCATGCCATGCACGATTGATGGGGGGCTCTTGGAAGTAATACCGCATCTTGCAAATTCGCTTCCCATTCCGTGCGCGGGATGTTTCGATTGCGATTCGCGGTGGAGCGGTGAGACATCTGACGGGACCGGCGCAACTTTCGGATTCTTCAATAATACCGCTCGATATTTTGTGCTCTCCAATTGCACCTTGACGCCGGGCTGATGACGGCGAGGAGAGACACGTCCGATCTCACTCGCCCGTCGATTTCCACCGTCGGTTTCCAGCCGACTTTCTCTCTCTCTCTCTCTCTCTCTCTCTCTCTCTCTCTCTCTCTCTCTCTCTCTCTCTCTCTCTCTCTCTCTCTCTCTCTCTCTCTCTCTCTCTCTCTCTCTCTCACGCGGAGATGCGAGCGTTGTTGCGCGTTGGCGCGACGAATAACAAGTAATGCGCTAATGAAGCAATCAGAGGACACGCGGAGATTTAATTATAGTGGAAGTCCGCGTTGCGCGCGAGCCCGGGCGAAATTACTCCGTCGAGGATAACGAGGGATCGATTCGCGAGCCATTCGGACTTTTACGACACGCGGAATTATGCCGCGGCGCATGTAGGTCGCTGTCGCGCGTGTTGCGCGATCGAAATTCAAAGCGCCTGGCCCATCGCCCGGCAAACTGGGACCGACATAAGCGTCACGATGCTCTGACGCGCACGGAAATATCTATACGCCGCGCGGCGACAGGTGACAATTCTCGAAATAATTAATGCATGGAGATTGACGAAGCCCTGAAATAAATAATACGAAATGGAGCCATCTCCCGATAATCAACTCGGCTGTCCGATCAGCCGGATAGCTGATCTCTGTCGGTAGACTGCGAAATGGCGAACTACCGGGGCGGGGCGGGGCGGGGGGAAAGGTGCCCGGCTCGTAAAACATAAATATCCTTTCCGAGTCCGACGAGACTCCCCCCTAGGACGATGATGAACTCGATCATTTCGATGCTCGCCCCGCCGCGTGAATTTCTCATGCGTTTAATTGGCCCGTTGTTCAGAGTCGAACGGTATGTTTGATAATTTTTTCATCTAGTACCGGGGAGGGGGGAGGGGGGATGACTAGATGCGACGTTGCTTTCCCATTATACATACGATCTCATTGTTTCACGTTTGATTGCCCCCTCCGCCCGCGTTCTTCGCACCCTCTCCAGCCCCGAGCCGTTGATCGGCGATTCCGAACGGAAACAAAAAGATTCGAGGGCGCGATTTGGTAACGCGCGACGGCGAGTGTTGGCAAATATTACACGAGCGCAAACACGATATCTATTTGAAGTTAATTTCACCGAGACACGCGAGCCGCACCACGTTTCTCAGGCAGGTAACGAGCATCTCGCGGCTGACGTAGCAGTCGGCGTCAGCCCGCTCTGACCGGTATTTCCTGAGCAGAGAGGGAGGGGGAGAGAGAGAGAGAGAGAGAGAGAGCGAGAGAGGAGGGGGAGGAAAAGCCGGGGAAAAAATGCGGATTTTTGATTCGAGCGAATATTATACGGCGCGGGCACGCGAGAGAACGAGCTGAAGCGAGCCGAACTGAAGCGAACCGCGCGTCGCGCTGCGCCGGTTCGGCGCGAAAATGAATCGCCCAGATTCGATCCCCCGATGCATTTAGTGCATTGACTGTTATCGGTCGTGTCGACCGGCCTGACGACGATACGGGCTCGCTTTGGCATTGTGATTCCCTCTTTGCCGAGCTTCGCGCGGCTCTCTTTCTCTCTCTGTCTATTCGCTCTCCGCTCCTCTTTCTCTCTCCCTGACGTTCTCTCCCTTCGTCACTGCGCGCTCCCTGCGCGGGCGGGCTGCAGCGCGATGTGCGGCGCATCGGCGTAGTCCCCCCTCGCACACTCGGAATTCTGAATTCCGCTCGTCACCCGCACGTATTCGGCTGGCGCGTGCACGCGAGCCATATGCGGGATATATGGCTATGGGTTTGCCGGCGCAGGGGTGTGACGGGATGAGACGCGCGGATGGACGGCAGCCAGAGGGCGTCGGGCGATATTTCGAGGAGTTCGGTACACGCGGATAGCACGGTTATTAATTTAACGGCGATGGATACGGGCTTGAGAGACTACCATTTCGGCTCGACCAGTGAGCGTGCGGGGGGGGGGGGGGATGGTGCGCACGACTGGGATGTACACACGGACACGGGGTGCGTGATGACGCGTACGGAGGGCCGACAGTTCGCGAAATATTATTGTATAGACTTCGGTTAATTGGCGGATTCTCTTTCGTTTCGCGACGTTTCGGTCGCTGAAAATGACCCCGCGATTATCACCGTAGGTCACGTCACGGTCGTCGCTGTCGCGGTTTAAATGTTTGATAACGCGACTCGGCGACTCGAAATGATTTTCGATACGCTTCCTCCCTCCCTCCCTCCCTCCCTGCCATCCGTCCGCCAGCCTCCTCCCGCCATTCGCGACGGACCGTGATTAATTACGAGACGGAAGCTGCCCATTGGCTCCGGGGCTGCGAGAACATTTTATATATCGACTAATGCGGACTTGCCGCTGGTTTGACCAGCGCTCTCTCTCTCTCTCTCTCTCTCTCTCTTTCTCTCGTCGTGTCTCGCGAGATTTTGATTTCGGCCTCGCTATCCATTATGCGCCGCGCCAGTTCCATTCCGCGGCGCCGGTTAATTAGTAACTTGCCCCCGTGGAAAGGGAGCTCATTCAATTCTTCTTGCGTCCTTTTTCTTCCCGTATTCTACGACGCACAGACGATCATTCAAGCACGGAAAGATTACTCTGTTAGTGTTAACGGAGAGTCAAAAGTCAGGAGAGAGAGAGAGAGAGAGAGAGAGGAAAGAGAGGAAGAGGGAGACAGAGAAAGATAGAGAGAGAGAGAGAGAGAGAGGGAGAAAGAAAGAAGTATAAAGAGAAAGAACTCTCGAGGTACTCTATATGTACGTCGCGTAATACGCGGACAAACGGAGTGGCGGAACTTGAAAAGTGCGACTCGTCCGGACGTTTTGCGAGTATTAACGAAGGATAAAAAGGCGTGTAGAGAGACCTCGGCCCTCTCTGGGGGCGGGGGCGGGGGCTGGAGGAGTAAGGGGCAAATGGCGCTTTAAGCGCGACCGCGGCGGACGAGAGCTCTCTCTCTCTCTCTCTCTCTTCCTCCCTCCCTCCCTCCCTCCCTCTCTCACTCTCATCCGCAGACGGAAAAGTTCCTCGCGGACGAATCCCGGTCGCGCTCCGCGCTGCGGTCCAGATGGCAATTTGATATCCGCGGGAAATGCGAGGTCGCGCGAACGGCCGTCTCGTCTCGCCTCGTCCCGCCTCGCCTCACCTGCTGAAGGGGGTCTCGTTACGCCGTTCACGACGGACATCATCGTCCGGTCGGAGAGGTCAATCTTGGCCGTGCGTGTGGCTTTATGGGCCCGTTTCCTCGTAACTCGGGCCGCGGCTGTAGGGCGCCCCATCGACGATCCCCCTGCTTAAACCCCTGCGCTACGTGGAAGTCGGCGGGCAGAGGGTGGGAGGGGGTGGGTCGAGAGGTCGGGGAGAGAGGGCATTTGCATAGTTATTCAGTGCGCCGGATGAAAGTCGTTACGGTCCGGCCTTCGAGAATTCCACCGCCGAAATTATCGACCGCGGGATTGCGCGCCTTTCATTCGCGCGCCGTGTTTCTGTCGCGACGGCGACGGCGACGGTGACGATAAAAGGCAGCGCGCGAGTACTCGGGCCGTAAATCGACAGCTGATATATATATATATATATATATATTTTAAAGTCCCTCGCAGTCCGTATTTATTAAGAGAAAATCTCGCACCGCTTATGTGCGCGGTTTCGTTCGTGCGCGATGGCCGCGATTCTGATATTTCTAGGCGCAGGATTTTCAGACCGATCGCTCGGATTCTCGGACTGACTGTCGTCAGTCCTTAATGAGAAACGCTTACTCGAGGCTTGCGATCTTGCGCACGGTTCGATGTAATTTTGCAGAATTGGAAGAAATTTCTGCGCGGAGTCCACATGGGATGTTCGCTTCGATGAAAAGGAATAAGAGTCGCCTGGGCTAATCCTCCGTCGTGCCGGTGTTGCTCGGGATAATCCGCCTCTCATACCTTAAATTACGTAAAGTCTTCTATTAGTAACGTTTAATTGCCAAAGAAACGGACCGAGACTCCGGCTAGTGAATAAATTACTACCCGCTCGATCGACCGCTAATTCCGGCCGGCGCGGCGAGTCCCGCAGCGACCTTCGTCTCGCGAATTAAGTTGCAAACGTAATGGGCCGCGTTGTCGCGGCGCCGGTTCCTCGATGGTCGATAAGTGGGCCAATCATACGTAATGGGGCTTAATTTGAGTGGTAATTCGGTAATTAGCGCCGGCTATGGGGTAGGCAGGGCTGCGAGCGAGGGTGCGCGGGGGCCGGTGGAAGAGTACTGGCGCCTTTTCGGGTGCAACCGCGCGGCGTAATCGATGAGGCGTGTTCGACGCCGCGCGACCGGTATTATTTACCCCGTTTGCGCAAACACTTCTAAGGTAATCAAAGACAAATATTGTTTCCGCTAGTGGCGCCGCGGCGGGGCGCCCTTCTCCAAGCGCTACAGATACAAACACCTTTTGCTAATTGGCAGTTAACCGGCTAATTGTGTGCAATTTATACCGGCGCTCGTGCTGGAACTCGGTTACACTTTGAAAGACTGCTCTTGTTCGCCGCGAGATAATATTTGTCGCGCGATCTTCCCCGTCAATTGTCGGGAGCAGACGCTGCTAATTATGCGAATAATCTGTGCCCTGCCGTGATATCGATTGTTCATT